AACCCATGCTTGCCGTAAGAGGCGACTAACAGGTTCAGGTGGTCAGGCTCGCTGACCTGGTTGACACATGTCATCGTATCCCAGTTGCGTAGATCGATGTTCATGCTGTTGATCACTGTCGTCGCCATAGAGTTAGCATATAGCTGAGTGCGGGTTAAACAACAAACCAGCCGACCAAGCAATCCATCGAGTTGAAAACGGGACTGGTAGAGTTTGAATTTATATCCGTTTTGCATCTGTACCCTCTCAATGATTCCAACCCAATCAGTACATAACAAATGCTTAATCGAATGGTATATGTGAACACTGTTGTTTCAGGAACCGATTCTTGTATATTATGATAGGGTTGTTAGTGAGACATGTTCAGAATCGGAATCTTATGATTCAAGTGAGTGAGTAATGTTTTACACCGCGTTTTTAGCAATATTTCAGCAATCACGGCGAGGGCCAGAATTGGCCTTCACACATTGTACCCGTGTGGGGAACGGAACTCAGGTCTTAGGCGTTTCCCGGGATTGATCAGTTTGAAATAAGATCGGTGGAAATCCGCGGATCAGCGAAAAATTGCATGGAGAGTAATCAGTAGTTCAGCTTATAGTGAGCAGCACAGATACCGCAGCTACCGGAAGTAGCGACGGTCTGCAAACACTCGACTCTGGCCAGACAATCCAGTGATCAACATCATGAGCATCGATCTACATAATCGGGATACGCTTTCATGTATCAACCAAGTCAGCGTGTCTGATCACCTGATCCCCTTAGTTGTCTCGTACGACAAACGTGGATTGCTGAAGACCAATTCTAATCCCAATCTTCACGGGTACAGCGAGAAGGAAAAGAATGTACTTCATGTAATGTCTGAATCAACCAGTTGAGTATTGCTGCTAAAAACATAACAAACAACGGACTGCTGAAGGGTCTGTATATACAGTGCTTTTAATATGACACATACACATATACAGACGCATGCGCACACACACTTACAAATATACAGACATAGTGTTCTATGTGTTGACTGTTTATAATGTTCCTCACCGGTGGTGGTTTACTGCTGTACGTTTAATCCTATTCCCCACATGTTTGATATTCCATCAGGTGATAACTAATTGTTGAATACACTGGTAAAATAACGCTATATTGAAAGTAACACACTATGTCCATTCCAAACTAAAAGCCTATTAGAAACGAAACATTCTATTTTCCGACCCTGATTTAAGATACATGAAGATTAGCGGATAAAATGGATAATGAAGCATTGTTTTTTGTAGCTTGGAAGCAGAGATAGTAGCCATAGAACTGTAACAAGATATTTATTGATGAAACCTACAGCAAATTAACAAGGCAACATAGGCTACATGCTGTATGAAATATGTAATCTTAAAATCAGTTTCCCAGGGTGGATGAGATCGGAATACAGAGAGAAAACACGATGCGATTGATACATTTAGGGAATCAAACACATACCGTTAGTACTTGTTCCCTTCATACTGACTGACTGGAGAGTATATGCCACAGTGTTATATGTCACATCAACTGCACCTACAATAGGAGACCGATAGCTACTGTAGTAGATGGTGCCTCTATATAGTCCCAGGTTCCTGGGGACGGCGTTCAGTGTGGTCACCTCTGTACTCACATTATTGGACACAGTCATCTTCATCAGTTTCTTCTGTACACCATAATACAACACACCTGCTGTCTGGTCCAGGGTTACAGCATACATACTGCTTCCTGTGGCTAATGTTGTCAGACCTTGACCATCATATGTCACAGTGAACAGTTTCCCGATGTTACACCCATATATCCTCCTTCTCTTTGTGTCAAGAGCTATTTGCTTTGGAGAACTACCGTACTTGGATAAGTCAATGATGGCAGTGAAGTCTTTCCCCTGTGTAGACATGCGGCTGATTGAGTAACGTGGTTGATAGGTGGCTATAAATACGATGTCCCGATCTTCATCCACTGCCATACCGTATGTCTCTACACCTTCTCTTAATACCGTCACGTGACGTGTATCCAGGGTAGATGACACTATCTTATCAGGGTTGTATAACCCTATGAGAAGTTTCCTTGTCTTTGTTGTATATGCAATACATCTGACCTGCTTCATGGTGTGGTACTGATAGACACTCAGGGAGTTACTGTGAATGTTGAGTTGACGGAACTGATGTGGGGTACCTGACGACAATGGAGCTATCAAAATCCTACTTTTCTCTTCCTCTGGTCTGAGTGTCGTTGTTGACACAGATGTCCCGGAAGCTGGTGTAACATCTAGAGGAGCGGGGGTAGAAGGAGACACCGTGACATTTGTTATAAGCTTCGACATCTGTGACTGACACGTCTCCTTCAATGTCGTTATTCGCTTGATGTCTTCTGTGAGTCTGGCAGTGGTAATATCGGCCTTCTCAAGTTCTTTTTCCAGTTTATACTTATCTCTCATACAGATATAACTTGAATTATCTTGATTCCACACATGTGCCTTCTTCAGGAGAGATTCGTGAAATACGGTCGTCTCGCTTTGGAAATCACTGAGTGATGTTGAGACATGGTGCAACTGTCTCTTCATCTGATGATAGCCCTGCTTCAGATGCCGCACCTCAGAGACAACCTGACTTTTCACCATGTCTTGAAGAGACTCCCCTTGTAGAATCTCGGCCATGGCTTCTCTCACTTCATCCCGTATGTTTTCCTTTAACTCAGCTCTCAAGGATGCCCGGACAACATCTATGGTGTTTAGTATCCTTGTCTCCATAGCGATCACACCCACCTTATTATCAAGCAAATCCTGTTCTAGTTTGTTTAGGACAGACACCATATTGTCATGGCAACTACAGAAACAGACAAGGGAGATAGACGTCAGCAACCATGACATGTATTTGAACTCGGCCATCTTGTGAACTGTAGAGATGTCTTTGTCCGTTAAAGTAATTTATACATGAAACCCTCCGTATGGTTCGACGAATCCTGAGAGTGACAGGTTGACGTGAGGTACAGGTTTATATCTACTGTGTAGCCAGAATATAATCAGGGTTGAAGGTCGGTTGGTTACCACGTGATATGTCAGAACACTCACGTATCTCTATGTATATAATATATAGAACATAGCTCTATCATTAGTGATTTAGGGATGTCAGGTTGCATTGCACAATCGATGCACTCACGTTGGTGAAAACAACCATGAAGGGTCACCCCTGAAGGACGGACGGAGAGAGAGAGAGAGCGCTAGAGAGAGAGAGAGAGCTAGAGAGAGAGAGCGCGCTAGAGAGAGCGGGAGAGAGAGAGAGAGAGAGGGAGAGAGAGAGACAGAGAGAGAGAGAGAGCGCTAGAGAGAGAGCGTTAGAGAGAGAGAGAGAGCGCGAGAGAGAGAGAGAGAGAGAGAGAGAGAGCTAGAGAGAGCGCTAGAGAGAGCGCTAGAGAGAGAGAGCGCTAGAGAGAGTGAGAGAGCGCTAGAGAGAGAGAGACAGAGCGCTAGAGAGAGAGAGAGAGAGAGAGAGAGAGAGAGAGATTCAGGAGAATTGACATTTTGAAGTTAGTGGATACAATCAGAGGTGATAATGATTAGCCCGGAAATGCAGGTACTTGCAGCCTTACGGTTTAGTGCAACGGGTTCGTTTGTTTCGCGCCTTTTCCCGGTGGTTGAAACACGGTCGAAAATAAAAAAAATAGCACACTGCACCTCGAACTGAATCTGTTAAGTCGGGCGTAGTAACACCTAGGCTTAACCGACGTTGTGCATGACGTGTAAGAGCAGGGCGCTACTAAGCCCGGCCATACGGCCACAGGTCTTCAAAAATTGCGTCATCTGTCAGGGTTACTTGTATTGAAAAGAGTAACAATAATCAAGCCAGGAAGCAAATACGATTCCCAAATCACATATATACGAAGAATCATATATGTCTTTAAAGACAGCAACATATATATGCCATTGCCCCAAAGTATTCCAGAGATTGCAACACACAACAATAAATGCACCTTTCAACACATGAATCAACTTCGTCAATATATCTTATTTCCTCTATTTCTCTAACAATCTGTCTATATTTGATAACTGACAAGATTACTACATTGAAGAGCTGCCCTCTTGACGTATTACATGAGTATATTTAGCTCATATAAAGATGGGCAGATATATCATGAAAACTGAGAAGATTACTGCATTAAGTGAGTGAGTGAGTGAGTTTAGTTTTTAGCAGTATTCCAGCAATATCACAGCGGAGGACACCAGAAATGAGCTTCACACATTGTACCCATGTGGGGAATGAACCCGGGTCTTCGGCGTGACGAGCGAACGCTTTAACCACACCTACCCCAGCACCCCGACTACATTGAAGAGCTGTCCTATTGTGGGTATAAATTGTGGTCCCGAGCAGGTGAGGTGAGGTGAAATGGGGTTTAACGTCGTAATTGAGACTATTTCGCTCCAGGCGGAGGCTCTAAAACATTACACCGCGGAGGCGGTCGCGGGCATACAAACGTGCAAGGTACACACGCACACGTAGCTTTCTCGTGATATAAGTGCACACATCTTGACCCCTACCTTCAATCCCCATTACTAACTGTAAACGTACTTCAGTCTTGTTTTCATGCTCTTATCAGAGAAAACCTCGACACGAGGAATACAAAGTCCAGCGTAACTGGGTCGCGTTACACATGGAGACTCTGATATCATGGGTATTTTAGGACTCATGGCCAAACTGTTCCTAGGCTCGTCAGATGGCGCTCATACCTCACTACCTCAACACTCATTAGTGAGGTTTGTTGGTTTGTACCCTGACTTTGTCCTAACCAATACCCCACCTGGATAACGGCTGTCTGTTAATTATCGAGTCTGGACAATGTAATTTAGCTACTGAGCATTCATCCACGCTACTGGGATATGAAGACATCCGTCAACCAAGTCAGCCAGTCTGATCTCCAGATACATTTAGTTGCCTCTTATCTATCCATATGGGTTCGTTAGTGCAGTACGTGTAAAATTATGTCTCTGTGGATGAGCATACCTCATTGTGGTGCAGGGCGTCTAGCGTGGTCCCTTTTATCAAGTGACGTCAGTTTTACACAGTGTTGTAGCTGAATCAGAGTTAAGACATATCACTGAAGGGTACAAGTACGTGACACTCACGTCAGTTTTACACAGTGTTGTAGTTGAATCAGAGTTAAGACATATCACTGAAGGGTACAAGTACGTGACACTCACGTCAGTTTTACACAGTGTTGTAGTTGAATCAGAGTTAAGACATATCACTGAAGGGTACAAGTACGTGACACTCAGGTCAGTTTTAGACAGTGTTGTAGTTGAATCAGAGTTAAGACATATCACTGAAGGGTACACGTACGTGACACTCACGTCAGTTTGACACACTGTTATAGTTGAATCAGAGTTAAGATATATCACTGAAGGGCACACGTACGTGACACTCATATCTGCTGTAACAGTGGCCACCTGGTGACGGTAGCATGTCTGTGAGTACAGGGGACCTAACTTCGTGCAAACTGGCAGCCCTGCCAAAACCAGTCATGTCACTGAACCACTTCATTTGTGTGAGTCAGTCCAACTTGAGGTAGTTGTCCTGAAGTCTTGGGAGGTTTTTAGGTGTGACTTGCATGTTACGGAAGTCAAGGGAGGTTGTTCGGTGTAACCTGTATGTTACGGAAGTCAAGGGAGGTTGTTCGGTGTAACCTGTATGTTACGGAAGTCAAGGGAGGTTGTTGGGTGTAACCTGTATGTTACGGAAGTCAAGGGAGGTTGTTGGGTGTAACGTGTATGTTACGGAGGTCAAGGGAGGTTGTTGGGTGTCACCTGCATGTTACGGAAGTCAAGGGAGGTTGTTGGGTGTGACTTGCATGTTACGGAAGTCAAGGGAGGTTGTTGGGTGTGACTTGCATGTTACCGAAGTCATGGGAGGTTGTTGGGTGTACCCTGCATGTCACCGAAGTCTAGGGAGGTTGTTGGGTGTAACCTGTATGTTACCGAAGTCTAGGGAGGTTGTTGGGTGTAACCTGCATGTTACCGAAGTCTAGGGAGGTTGTTGGGCTTAGACCTTTTGAAACTGATGATCTGAAGTTTATGTCTATTCAATCGATATCTTATTTCCTATATTACTCAAACAATATGTCTGTAGTTGATAAATGACAAGATTACTACATCGATCAGCTGCAATAATATGGGTTTAAAATGTGGCCCCAAGTAAATGTCCCAACGTCACTGTTGTAGTGTTGTTGTAATGTGGAGCTATGAACCGTTGCCTTAATGCTAGGGGTGAAACGGTACGCTCTTACCACGGCACGGTACGGATTGCGGTACTTCTGTTCAGTCCGTTTCGGTAAACGAGATAGGATCACAATGCAGATCACAATAAAATAAAGGTACGAAAACTGAAAATACCGAATGTTTGGACTGCATTACGGTATGCCGAATAGAAGGCAAACTACCTCGGTATACCGTTTCACCCCTACTTAATGCAGGAAGACAGTCCCGTTTGTAAGGTTCATGGGACAAGTGAGCGAGTGAGTGAGGACTGCTAACGACAACCAGCAATTGTAAAGCTGCTATTTGCGTCGAAAACTAACTGTGGATCCAGTGGGAAGGCTCAGTGACATGGCTGAATGCATGGCATGGACACCCTTGGCGGCTTTAATCATTTCTCGTGATATCTATCACAGGTTTGTCTGGCACGGAATCGATTATTCACAAGTCACCGTTATAATTATGGCTTGTTCTTTTTTGGTTTGTTTATAGCCATATCAACAATATTCAAGATATATGTCGGCGGCGGTCTGCAAACAATCGACTCTGGACCAGACAATCCAGTGTTCAAACATCATGAGTATCGATCTACATAATCGGGATACGCTTTCATGTATCAACCAAGTCAGCGTGTCTGATCATCTGATCCCGTTAGTTGTCTCGTACGACAAACGTGGATTGCTGAAGACCAATTCTAATCCCGATCTTCACGGGTACAGCGAGAAGTAAATGGAAATACTTCATGTAATGTCTCAATCAACCAGTTGAGTATTGCTGCTAAAAACATAACAAACAACAGACTGCTGAAGGATCTGTATATACAGTGCTTTTAATATGACACATACACATATACAGACGCATGCGCACACACACTTACAAATATACAGACATAGTGTTCTATGTGTTGACTGTTTATGATGTTCTTCACCGATAGAGGTTCACGGCTCTACGTTTAATCCTATTGCCGTCGGGTTTGATATTCCATCAGGTGATAACTAATTGTTGAATTCAATGGTAAAATACCGCTATACTGAAAGTAACACTATCTCCATTCCAAACTAGAAGCTTATTACAAACGAATCATTCTATTTTCCGACCCTGATTCAAAATACATAAATATTTGCGGATATAATGGATAATGAAGCATTGTTTTTTGTAGCTTGGAAGCACAGATAGTAGCCATAGAACTGTAACAAGATATTTATTGATGAAACCTACAGCAAATTAACATGGCAACATAGGCTACATGATGTATTGAATATGTTATCTTAAAATCAGTTTCCCAGGGTGGATGAGATCGGAATATAGAGAGAAAACACGATGCAATTGATACATTTAGGGAACCAAACACATACCGTAAACACTAGCCCCCTTCATACTGACTGACTGGAGAGTATATGCCACAGTGTTATATGTCACATCAACAGCACCAACACCAGTAGGATCATAGCTACTGTAGTAGATGGTGCCTCTATACAGTCCCAGGTTCCAGGGGACGGTGTTCAGTGTGGTCACCTCTGTACTCACATTATTGGACACAGTCGTCTTCATCAGTGTCTTCTGTACACCATAATACAACACACCTGCTGTCTGGTCCAGGGTTACAGCATACATTCGGCCTCCTGTGGCTAATGTTGTCAGGTCTTGACCATCATATGTCACAGTGAACAGTTTCAAGTCATTACACCCATATATCCTCCTCCTCTTTGTGTCAAGAGTTATTTGCCTTGGATCACCACCGTACTTGGATAAGTCAACGATGGCAGTGAAGTCTTTCCCCTGTGTAGACATGCGGCTGATTGAGTAACGTGGTATAAAGGTGGCTATGAATACGATGTCCCGATCTTCATCCACTGCCATGCCATATGTCTCTACACGTTCTCTTAATACCGTCACGTGACGTGTATCCAGGGTAGATGACACTATCTTACTCGGGCTGTATAACCCTATCAGAAGTTTCCTTGTCTTTGTTGTATATGCAATACATTTGACCTGCTTCATGGTGTGGTACTGATAGACACTCAGGGAGTTACTGTGAATGTTGAGTTGACGGAACTGATGTGGGGTACTTGACGCCCATGGAGCTATCAAAATCCTACTTTTCTCCTCCTCTGGTCTGAGTGTCGTTGTTGACACAGATGTCCTGGAGGTTGGTGTAACATTTAGAGGAGCGGGGGTAGAAGAAGACACCGTGACATTTGATGTCAGCTTTGATATTTGAGACTGATGTGTTTCCTTCAATGTCGTAATTTGAGATTGGATATTGGCAATGGTAGCGTCACACGTCTGTAGTACTTTTTCCAGTTTATGCCTATCTCTCATACAGATAGCACACGAATTCTCTCGATCCGACATACCTGCCTTCTTCAGGAGAGAGTCGTGAATTACGGTCGTCTCGTCCTGGAAATCTCTGAGCAACCTTGAGACATGGTGCAACTGTCTCTTCATCTGATGGTAGCCCTGCTTCAGATGCCGCACTTCAGAGACAACCTGACTTTTCACCATGTCTTGAAGAGACTTTCCTTGTAGAATCTCGGCCATGGCTTCTCTCACTTCATCCCGGATGTTTTCCTTTAACTCAGCTCTCAAGGATGTCCATGTGACATCTATGGTGTCAAGTACTCTTTTCTCCATACGAAGTATATCCATCTTATTATCCCGCAGATCCTCTTCAAACTGTTTCAGCTTGTTCAGGACAGACACCATACTGTCCTGACCATAACAAGAACAGATTAGGGAGGCACATGTCAACAACCATGGAAGATACTTGAAGTCGACCATAGCTAGGATTATACAATATCTTCTGGGATATCCCTGTCCGTTAGAGTGACTTGAGGGTGTACCTCTCGGTATGGTTTGATGTTTACTGCTACGGACTGGCTGACGCAAGGTACAAATATACATTAACTGTGTTATCACGACCTACTCAGTGTTGCAGGTCACCAGTTGCACAGACTGTGTGAACAGAACAGGTGCAGGTATCACAGTTTGCCTGCGTAACATACACACAGAGACAAATATACCTTCACCAAAACAAACACGCGCGTGCACACGCATACACGTATATGCACATTGCTATATAAATAATGTTCTGAGCGTAATGTTAATCCCTTCTTCACCTCACCTTACTGCGACATACAGTTTATGTACATTCTGTCCTTCAAGGAGGTTATCAAGTTCCACGTATGGGGAAAATACTGACATGACGTAACAGGCACGCCAGAATTGAAGCCGTGTTGAAGTTTACAATGCAATCTCTGGATAGTTGTTTGTCAAGTCATTCGCGGAAAGTAAATGAATAAGGGAACCGTTACCTTTAGAATTAAGATACAATACTATAAGTATTCCTAACTGACCATGCATGTTAAACTGCGACTGAGTGGACTACGACTATCACACCGGTATTAGTTCGAACTAGTACAGGAAGACACCCACAAGCACGCAGTGGTAGGTCATGCGACCATCAACTACATTATATCTCACCCCTATCCCATCTACTTCAACCTTGTAGCATACTATAATGGGTGGACCTCCTCCCTACACCATGCTACCCGTGAAGATCCGGGATAGCAACCCATGTCTTCAGCAACCCATGGTGTAAAAGGCGACTAACAAGATCAGGTCAGGGTCAGGCTCACTTGGTTGACACGTATCATCGTATACTAATTATGTAAATTGATACTGTTGATCACTAGCTTGTCTGTTCCAGCTAGAATATTGCTAAACTAGAGTCCGTCGCTAAACAACAAACCGGCCAGCCAGCCAACCAGTCCTACTCCATACAGATGCCTTGATGATTAAACAGACTTTGCCGTATTAAGAGCAAACGGTGCAAAGTCTAGCGTGTTTTGGGTACGTAAAACTCGCTACCTTGTTGAGGGATTGCATGCCTGGATGCTGAAACAGGACTTGTGGAGAGAATAGCAAATGGTACACCTGCAGATTCTCACTTAATCGATATTATACCC